AGGGAGGGAGGAAAGGAGGAAGGGAGGAAGGGAGGAAGGGAGGGAGGAAGGGAGGAAGGGAGGGAGGGAGGGAGGGAGGAAGGAAGGAAGGAAGGAAGGAAGGAAGGAAGGAAGGAAGGATCGTATAGTAATAAAAAATCAGGTCCATGAGGCCAGGCACAGTGGCTCATGACTATAATCCCAGCACTTTGGGAGGCCGAGGTGGGCAGATCACTTGAGGTCATGAGTTCGAGACCACCCTGGCCAAAATGATGAAACCCTGTCTCTACTAAAAATACAAAAATTAGCCGGGCATGGTGGCACACATCTCTAATCCCAGTTACTCTGCAGGCTAAGGCAGGGGAATCACCTGAACCTAGGAGGCAGAGGTTGCAGTGAGCACCACAGCACTCCAGTCTGGGCGATGAGTGATCATCAGGTCCATGAAACATTTGTGCTAACATGGAAAAGCATGTGTATGTTTCAACATATAATGAAAGAAGGGCACATTATATATATGTACACATGCACATATATACATATAGATATATGTATCCTATTTACATTTTTGTATATATAAACATGTAAAATATGATCTCAACTATGCTAAATACAAATCTATAAATAGGAAAAAAAGATTGGAAGAAAATAGGTCAAGATACCAATAATAACATTTATCCACTTTTACAGGTAAAGAGCCGAGGCACAGAGAAGTTGGACAACCTGCCCACAGCCAAGGCTGCAGTCACAATGGGCAAAGGGTTTATCACATGCTCTATGTTGCTGCTATTCAAACCTGACGTCTTGCTGGACTCACTGGACAGTTTGTAAAATACTGAGGGTTAAGTCCCACTCCTTGAGATTCCCAGGGCACTGGCATGGAGCACCCGGGCCCTGGGAGTTTTCAAAGCGCTCCCAGTGAAGGTCATTTTAGCCAGGTTTGCAAACCACTGTTCCAGGGCCAGTCCAGCTGAGGTTTGAATCCTAACTTCTCAACCCTTGGACATGCTGCCTGCTCAGACTTCGGGGGCCGCACACAATGCTGGCCACACGGAGCCAGCTCCTGTGCTCTCCAGCCACTTAGATGCACCTGTCTAACCTCCCTGGCCACACAGTAGAAGCTCTGAGGGCCAAGGCTCAAGGCCTCCACCTGCCCCTAATTGCCACTGGGCACTAAGTGCTTAATACAAACTCTAGTAATCAACAGTCGCTTTCTTTTTCTTTTTCTTTCTTTCTTTTTTTTTTTTCTTTGAGGTGGAGTCTTGCTCTGTCACCCATGCTGGATTGCAATGGCACGATCTTGGCTCACTGCAACCTCCACCTTCCAGGTTCAAGTGATTCTCCTGCCTCGGCCTCCCAAGTAGCTGGGATTACAGGTGCACACCGCCACACCCAGCTAATTTTTTTGTATTTTTAGTAGAGACGGGGTTTCACCACGTTGGCCAGGCTGGTCTGGAACTCCTAACCTCAGGTGATCTGCCCGCCTTGGCCTCCCAAAGTGCTGGGATTACAGGTGTGAGCCACCGTTCTCAGCCTAACAATTGCTTTCTTTTCGGATCCGGAGACACACCTTTTCGGATCCGGAGACACATTGTTGCCATGTGAAATTTGTTGTCTATCAGACCCCAGAGGCTCCCAGTTCTTGGTGGGCAGCAAGGGCAGAAGTGGGTGACTCACCTTCTGGCACAAACATGTTGGCGATCACCATGAGCCCGGCCAGGTCCGCCATGGCCCGGTGGCCCATGTAAATCATGGTGGCGGTGGCCACCAGCATGGCCGGGATGTCGATGATTCCAAACAGGGCCTGCACCAGGTAAAGGCTGAGCCCAAACTTCTGCAGATCCATGGCCAGGCCATAGTAAGCCACAGAGTTGGAGAACCTGGGAGAGGCAGTGGAATGGTCCTTGTTCACCCCGTGGTTTACTGTTCTGAGCCCAGGGGAGGGGACTCAAAGATGGATGACACAGGATTCCTCCCCTCGGGGAGTAAAATTCCCTGACTTTCCATAGACACCCCTTCCCGGTCTCCTAAGTCTCTGTCCTTAGTGTTAGAGCTCAGACCCCTCCCTCCACATCCCTTTCCACCACCCACTCCTGGATCCAGTGCACGGGTTCTGGAGTGTGTGTGCTTTTCTCTGCAGTACCACCTCAGTGCCGAAATTAAGGCAGTGCTAAAAAATAAAAAGAGAAGAAGATGGAGGAAGGTCAAAGGACACAGGAGGCAATGTGGAAGAGCTCCCAATGGCCAAAGTTGGAGCAATTTGGGAAATAAGGTAAAGACTGTAGTATCTACTAAATAAAGGAAAAACGTCGTTGAATTATAACCCAAAGTATAAACTACATGATTATACATGAGCCTATATAAATAAATGATTTAATAAAAAAGTCTTTCTTACAGAAGAACTCCAAACAATATGTGTGAATATTCCATTCCTTGGCTGGGAGCAGTGACTCACACCTGTAATCCCAGCACTTTGGGAGGCCAAGGTGGGTGGATCACGAGGTCAGGAGTTCAAGACCAGCCTGGCCAAGATGGTGAAACCCCCACTCTTCGCTAAAAATAGAAAAATAGCCAGGGCACCCGTAATCCCAGCTACTCAGGAGGTGAGGCAGAGAAATTGCTGAACCCAGGAGGCGGAGATTGGCAGTAAGCCGAGATCACGCAACTCCAGCCTGGGTGACAGAGGGAGACTCCATCTCAAACAAAACAAAACAAACAAACAAAAAAATCCATTCCTTCAGGAGATGAAAGTTAGTTTCCCTCCCGTTGAGTGCGGACTGGACTCACTTTCAAATAATAGTATATGGAAAGAGGCAGCTCACAGTGGCTCACACTTTTAATCCCAGCACTTTGGAAGGCTGAGGTGGGTGGATCGCTTCAGCCCACGAGTTCAAGACTAGCCTTGGCAACATGGTGAAACCTCATTTCTACCAAAAGTACAAAAATGAGCCAGTCTCATAACCTGTCTCAAAATAAATAAATAGATTAAAATTTAAAAGTAAAAAAAGAATATGGAAAGAGAACATTATTTTTACAGTGGAGAAACGTGATAGACACTACCTTAACTAAGGGATTAACTTCAACATCACCAGTAATCAGTCATGTTGACATCACATATGCCCTCATATGGTATGATATGATATGATATGTTTGTTTTTTTTTTTTTTTTTGAGACCAAGTTTGGCTCTGTGGCCCAGGCTGGAGTGCAGTGGCGCGATCTCAGCTCACTGCAAGCTCCAGCTCCCGGGTTCACGCCATTCTCCTGCCTCAGCCTCCCGAGTAGCTGGGACTACAGGCGCCTGCCACCACGCCCGGCTAATTTTTTGTATTTTTAGTAGAGATGGGGTTTCACCTTGTTAGCCAGGATGGTCTCGATCTCCTGACCTCATGATCCGCCCGTCTCGTCCTCCCAAAGTGCTGGGATTACAGGCTTGAGCCACCGCGCCCAGCCGATATGATATGATATGATATGATATGATGAGAAGCTCATATCACCTCCATGGTTCTCCTTTCCCAAATCCACAATCCCAGTTTAATCATGAGAAAACCATCAGACAAATCCAAACTGAGGCCAGGCACAGTGGCTCACGCTTGTAATCCCAGAACCTTGGGAGGCCAGGCTGGTTGATCATCTGAGGTCAGGAGTTCAAAACCAGCCAGACCAACATGGTGAAACCCCATCGCTACTAAAAATGCAAAAATTAGCCAGGCGTTATGGTGCATGCCTGTAATCCCAGTTACTTGGGAGGCTGAGGCAGGAGAATCACTTGAACCCGGGACGCAGAGGTTGCAGTGAGCCAAGATCATGCCATTGCACTCCAGCCTGGGCAAAAAAGAAAAAAAAATCCAAATTGAGGGACATTCTACAAAATACCTTACCAATACTTTTCAGAACTGTCAAGGTCATGAAAAATAAGGAAAGACTAACAAACGGCCACAGATCAAAGGAGACCAAGAAGATATAATGACTAAATGTAATGGGATATACCAACTGGTGAAATCCAAATAAATCTCTAGTTTAGTTAATAGTAAATTACCAATCTTAAATTATTACTTTTGACAAATCTACTAAGGTAATTTAAGATGATAATATGAGGGGAAACTGGGTGAAGTGGATACAGGAACTGTCTGTACTATCTTTGCAACTTTTCTATAATTATACATTTATAGAAGAATAAATATACATTTATTTCAAAATTTTATGAAGATAAGCTAACAGAATATATTTGTGAAAACTAATATTCAGAAAATAAATTTTATCCAGAAAAAAATATATACATGGGTATATATATATAATTTTTTTTTTTTTTTGAGATGGAGTCTCGCTCTTTTCGCCCAGGCTGGAGTGCAGTGGCATAATCTCGGCTCACTGCAACCTCTGCCTCCAAGGTTCAAACAATTCTCCTGCATCAGCTTTCCAAGTAGCTGGGATTACAGGTGCACACCACCACACCCAGCTAATTTTATATTTTTAGTAGAGACGGGGTTTTACCGTGCTGACCAGGCTGGTCTCAAACTCCTGACCTCAAGTTATCTGCCCGCCTCAGCCTCTGAAAGTGCTGGGATTACAGGCATGAGCCACCACGCCTGGCCAAGAAAAAAAAAAATTCTTATGTAAGGCAATAAGAAAAAAGATAATCCTGTAGAAAAATTGGCAGAAGTCTTGGATAAGCATTTCACAAAAAACAAGCTATCCAAAATACCAGTAAGTTCATGCAAATATTTTTCATTCCTTAAGACATCAGAGAATTGGAAATCACAGTACAATATCACTACACACTCACTATAACGGCTAAAATTAAATTACAGACAATACCAAGTGTTACTAGGGATGTGGAACAAGCTGAACTCATATGCTTCTGATAAGGGTGTGAATTGGCATAACCACTTTGGAAAACTGCTTGCTTCTATTACAGAGAACCACACCCATACTTTATGATCCAGCAATGCCAATCCTAGGTATGTATCTGACAGAAATGCAAGCGTGGGCCCAGCACAGTGGCTCACATCTGTAATTCCAGCACTTTGGGAGGCTGAGGTGGGAGAATCGCTTGAGCTTAGGAATTCAAGATCAGCCTGGGCAACATAGTGAGATACTGTCTCCATACGAAGGAAGGAAGGAAGGAAGGAAGGAAGGAAGGGAGGGAGGGAGGGAGGGCGGGAGGGAAAAAGAAAAGAAAAGAAAGGGGAGGGAGGGAGGGAAAGAAAGAAAGAAAGAAAAGAGGAAGAAAGAAAGAAAAGAAAGACAGGTGTGTTTTCTCACCAAGAGAAATGTACAAGAATATGTATAGCAGCACTATTTGTAACAGACCAACCTAGGAAAAGCCCAGTGTCCTTCAGCAGTAAAATAGGTAGGCCGGGCGCGGTGGCTCACGACTGTAATCCCAACACTTTAGGAGGCCAAGATCTGCGCATCACAAGGTCAGGAGATTGAGACCATCCTAGCTAACATGGTGAAACCCTGCCTCTACTAAAGATACAAAAAATTAGCTGGGCATGGTGGCACACGCCTGTACTCCCAGCTACTCGGGAGGCTGAGGCAGAGAATCGCTTGAACCCAGGAGGTGGAGGAGGTTGCAGTGAGCTGAGATTGCGCCACTGGATTCCAGCCTGGGCAACAGGGCGAGAGTCTGTCTCAAAAAAAAAAAAAATTGGTAAAGTTTCTGTATTAGTTTCCAATTGCTGCTGTAACAGATTACCACAAATTTAGTGCCATAAAACAACACAAATGTATTATCTTACACTTCTGGAAGTAAGAAGCCTAACATGTGTGTTACTAAGCAAATGTCAGAGTGTGGGCAGGGCTGTGTTCCTTCGAAAGCTCCATAGGAGAATCTGTTTGCTTGCCTTTGCCAGCTTCTAGAGGCTGCCTACATTCCTTAGCTTGTGGCTCCTTCCTCTGTCTTCAAAGCCAGCAACACACAGCATCTCCAAAGGTCTCTCTCTCTGACCTTCTTCTGCCACTTAAAGGGACCCTTGTGATTGGACTGGGCCCACTCAGATAATCCAGGGTAATCCTCCGTCAAGATCCTTACTTACATCTGCAAAGTCCCTTCTGCCATAGAAGGTAACACATTTACAGATTCCAGGGATTACTTACCGATTTCTAGTAATATCTATATTATATATAGATATAGATATATTTTCTGGGTATGGTTTTTTGTTGGATATTGGTTTCTGCAAGTATCTGATTCTACTGCATACCTTGCTTTTTAAAAATAATTTTAATTTTGGAATAAATATATATTTACAGAAAAGCTATAAAGATTCATACATCTTTGGGGGTCATTATTCCATCTACCACAAGTAGTATATTCGTACCATGGATTGTTATACACAAAGAAAGAATGAACTAAATTACATATGACAACATGAGTGCATCTCACAAACAGTATAAATTACAAAACTATGTAGCTCAAGTTATATAAAGCTCAAAAACAGGCTAATGTAATCTGTGGCATTAGAAATAAGGATAGTGATTCCCTTAGGGGAGGGTAATGAGTGAAGAAGACACGGTGGGCGGGGCTTCTGGAGGCTGATCATGTTCTGTTTCTTGACCAGTATGTTGATTAATGGGTGTGTACAGTTTGTGAGAATTTGTCAAGCTGAGCCTTGTGCATTTTTGCATGTGTGTGATACTTCAACAAAAAGTATATGTGGGCCAGGTGCGGTGACTCATGCCTGTAATCCCAGCATTTTGGGAGGCTGAGGTGGGCAGATCCCTTCAGGTCAGGAGTTCATGACCAGCCTGGCCCACAGAGAGAAAACCTGTCTCTACTAAAAGTACAAAAATTAGCCAGGTGTGGTGGCACACACCTGTAGTCCCAGCTACTCGGGAGGCTGAGGCAGGAGAATTGCTTGAACACAGGTGACAGAGGTTGCAGTGAGCTGAGGTGGCACTACTGCACTCCAGCCTGGGCGACAGAGTAAGACTCTGCCTAGGAAAAAGATAAATAAATAAAACTATATGTGGGAAGAAGAACTCCAAGATGATCCATCAAATTCTTGGCCTGGGTGAACACAAACCTTCTCCCAGTTGTTCGAGCACTAATCTAGGTGTTGTGAACGGATTTTTCAGATGTAATTCCGGTCCCAAATCACTTGACTTTAAAACAGAGAGATTTTTCTGGGAGGGCCTGGTCTAATTACATGAGATTTAAATCTGGGTCTAGAGCTCAAAGACCGGGAGTTGGAGATGCAAAGCATGGGAGAGATTTGATGTGAGGAAGATGTTCCTTTGAGATGGAGGAGGCCACTTAGCCAGCAATATAGATGGCTTCTAGGATCTGAGGGTGTCCCTTGACTAACAGCCTGTAAGGAAATGGAGACATAAATCCTACAGCTGTAAGCAGTTAAATCGAACCAACAATTGAAATGAACTTGGCTGTGATTTCTTCCCCAGAGCCTCCAGAAAGGAGGCTTCGTTTCAGCCTCCTAAGAGCCTGAGCAGAGAACCCAGCTGGCACTTCTGGCCCGCAGAATTGTAAGCTCATAAATGGGTGTCATTTGAAGCCACTAAATTATAGTGATTTGTTACATAGCAATATAAGACTAAAACATTACACAAAAAATAAAGTGACCATTGAAAAATTTGAGGGACACTCAGTCAAAAACCACCAGGTTTACATTCAGATCTTTTGCTTGTTAACATGTCTGCTAACCTAGGAGGAAAGAAGGCGGAAAGGCTCCTGAGAATGTGAGCTCAGAAACGGAGTCTTCCCAGAGAGACTGGACCATGACCAGCCAGCACTGCCACTGAGGAGAGACTGGCAGTGGCAGGGAGAATGCACAAGACATTCTCTAAGATTCCTTTTCATCTTATAATTCTGTGGCTCACAATATTCTAAAATTCATTCATTCATTCATTAGTTCATTCACTCATCAAATATTTATTGCAAAGCTATCACATGCCAGGAGCTGGTTACATGTAATGTTGTAAAAGTTTTTACAGATGTGATTAAGTTATTTAAAAAAACAAAAGCAGAATAGGTAGAGTATTAATCCTGTTTTTTTTTTTTTTTCTCTTGAGACACTCTGCCTCACTCTGTTGCCCAGGCTGGAGTACAGTCGCAAGATCTTGGCTTGCTGCAGCCTCCGTCTCCTGGGTTCAAGTGATTCTCCTGCCTCAGCCTCCCAAGTAGCTGGGACTACAGGTGCACGCCACCACACGTGGCTAATTTTCATATTTTCAGTAGAGATGGAGTTTCACCATGTTGGACAGGCTGGTCTCGAACTCCTGACTCAGGTGATCCACCCACCTCGGCCTCCCAAAGTGCTAGGATTACAGGCATGAGCCACCACACCCAGCCACTATTAAATCCATTTCTATAAGAACGTGTGTATGTGTGTGTGTGTGTATGTGTGTGTGTAAGTATGTGGGTGTCATGGATGTACCTCAGTACATGTATCTTCAAGGGTACAAATTCATGCCTGACAGAAATGGGAGATGGGAGATGTTCAGAGGTGGAAGGGAGAGTAGGTTGAGAGGAATATTCACTTGTATATCTGATAACAGAAAACAACTCGCATTCAGGCATTGTTCCACCTCCTTTGCAGACTAATTTTCACAACAACCTTATGTGGTAGGTTCTATTATGATGCCCATGTTACAAATGGAGAAACTGAGGCACAGAGCGGTTAAGTAACTTGCCCAGGATCACAAAGTCAGTAAGTGGCAGAGCTGAGATTCAAACCGAAGGAGCAGGTTCCACAGTCCTGCTTCTTAACCAATGCGCTACACTGCCTATCTGTTTCTGGATTCTTTTTTTTTTTTTTTTTTTCCTGAGACGGAGTCTGGCTCTGTCGCCCAGGCTGGAGTGCAGTGCCCGGATCTCAGCTCACTGCAAGCTCCGCCTCCCGGGTTTACGCCATTCTCCTGCCTCAGCCTCCCGAGTAGCTGGGACTACAGGCGCCCGCCACCTCGCCTGGCTAGTTTTTTGTATTTTTTAGTGGAGGCGGGGTTTCACCATGTTAGCCAGGATGGTCTGGATCTCCTGACCTCGTGATCCGCCCCTCTCGGCCTCCCAAAGTGCTGGGATTACAGGCTTGAGCCACCGCGCCTGGCCTGTTTCTGGATTCTTTGGGGGAAAAAAAGTTTTTAACAATGAATATGCATGCTTTTCAGAATTTAGAAAAAAAACCACAAGGTGGCTCAAGCCTGTTATTCCAGCACTTTGCGAGACCAAGGGGGAGGATCTCTTCAGTCCAGGAGTTCTAGACCAGCCTGGGCGACATTGCAAGACCTCACCCCATCTCTATTTTTAAAAATTAGCCCGGGCTTGGTGGCAGGCACCTGTAGTCCTAGCTACTACAGAGGCTGCGGTGGGAGGATCGTTTGAGCCCAGGAGGTCGAGGCTGCAGTGAGCTACGATTGTGCCGCTGCACTCCAGCCTGGGTGCCAGAGCAAGACCTTGTCTCAATCAAATCAACCAACCAGTAAAGAAAAAAATCCCAGTTAATTGAAGGCATTTACAATAGGGCTTGTGGAAGTTTGTGAAAGTTCACCAGTTCCTAACAATTCCTCTTTCTCCTCCCTCATCCTTTTTCGAACCCCAGGACTCCCCATCCCCACCTCAACCCAGACACACTGGCGAGGAAGGGGTAGGGGAGCACGCTCGCCGCCTCCCGCTCCCCAAAGCCAGGACTGTGCAATTGATCCCAGGCGCGAGCCTGGCGTGGCTCCCAGCCGGCAGCGAAGCGAAACATTTGGAAATGGCCCCGATTTTCCGGGTGCGGTTGGTAAGTCCCAGCGTGCACGAACCAAACCTGCAGTGCCTGGGGCAGCTTTGAGCGGGTCGGGTCGGCTCCATGGGAGAATGGCCCCACCTGCAGGCAGAGAGCTCCGGATGGCTGCCGAGTCACTTTCTCAACAAAAACGGGCTTTTGCTTACTCTTTCCAGAAGGATCCAAGACAGGACTTTCAGCTCTGGAGTTTTGAACTCGGGATCTGTTTCTCCTTCGCGGAAAGAGGAAGGTGGAGGAAAGGCAAGCCCAGGCTGGCGGGGCTACCGCAGGAAGACACCCCTCCTGGACTCGGGTTCGCAGGAGGCCCCTCGCTCCCCAGAGCCAGAACTGCGCTGCCTGCCACGCTGCTGGGGACAGAAGCCCTCACAGCCTCCCAGAGTCGGGGGCCGTCCCATCTTCCCAGTACACAGGGGTCACAGCCCCAAATCCAAACCAGAGGAAAGATTCTATACCGCAGAGCTTCCCAGGGGGCCACCTGTGGTTTAAGTGCTTTATGTGCCTTAACTGTTTTTTTTTTTTTTCTCCACACGGGGTCTCGCTCTGTCACCTAGGCTGGAGTGCAGCGGTGAGATCACAGAGCACTGCAGCCTCCAACTCCTGCGTTCAAGCAATTCTCCCACCTCAGCGTCCCAAGTAGCTGGAACCACAGGTACAGCCCTCCACGCCTGGCTGGCGGGGGTCTCCCTGTGTTGACCAGGCTGGTCTGGAACTCCTGGGCTCAAACAATCCTCTCGCCTCTGCCTGCCATAGTGCTGGGATTACACACATGAGTCACCAGAGCTGGCCTCATGTCTTAACTCTGGATCCTCACAAGGACCTTACAGATGTAGGAAAGAGGCCCCAGGAGGCTGGGCTCCCTTACTTGCTCAGGTCACATGGATAGTCTGGCCTCAGAGCCCAGCTGATATCTACTAAAAGTGACTCCCCAGTCTGCTACAGAAAACAGCTGCCCGCCTCTACTAAAAATACAAAAATTAGCTGGGCGTAGTGGCGCGTACGTGTAGTCCTATCTACTCGGGAGGCTGAGGCAGGAGAATTGCTTGAACCCGGGAGGCGGAGGTTACAGTGAGCCAAGATCACACCACTGCACTCCAGCCTGGAGACAGAGGGAGACTCCGTCTCAAAAAAAAAAAAAGAAAGAAAGAAAAAGAAAAACAAAAGAAAGAAAGGAAAGAGAGAGGGAAGAAGAAAAAGAAGAAAGAAAGAAAGAGAAAGAAAAGAAAGAAAGAAAGAAAGAAAGAAAGAGAAAGAAAGAAAAAGAAAACGGATAGTAATTCATTGCCTGCAGTCCCTGTTGGTATCAATACCAATTATTTAAATGTGCAGGAAATCCAGTGGAATGAAATCAACACGGTTGTTTTTTATCAGCCCTTCCCCTTAGGATTTGTCAGCTTCCAGTAGGTGGCGCTACTGCATATGGGCTGCCTTTGTATTTTTGTCCATTTCACATCTTCATGCCTGTGAACCTGTTAGGAATTCCTTCCTGCCCACCTTGCAAACTTGATAAACCATCTTTTAAAACTAGTCTAAATGCTGTCTCCTGCCTGAAGCGCTCAGCAGCCCCAGCTAGCAGAAATGCTGTCAAGATACTTGTCTCACTGCATGGAAATCACTATTTTCCTGTCTATCCCCTTCTGGATCCAGAAGTGTTTTTTCCAGAGTGCGACACTTCCCAGAATCCACTGGAGAGCCAGCCCCAGGGGCATATCAGGATGGGGCAAGTTACGTTCTGGAAAAGCTGCCTTGGTGATTCCAGTAGTCCTCCCACCCAGGTGAGACCCACTGCCCAGAAATGGGGTTCCTGGGTTGGCATGATATCTCATCTGTCACCACATCTCAGCGTCCAGCAGGGGCCGAGTGCTGGAAAAAGGGTGTGGGCAGAGATTGAGTTCATACGGCTCACCTGCTCATTGCATTAAGAGTATTTCAGAACAGAGTTTTTCAGTGGGGGCAGAGAGCATGCCCCTGCCTTGGGTGAAAGACTTGGGCATGAGCCTGTCACCTACCAGATCACCATGAGACAGCATGTGACCTTGCGGATGGCCGGGGTTCGGAAGAGGTCCAAGATCGAGTTGGAGGTGCGGACACTTGCAGACTCGCTCTGGATGTAGGAGCTCACCACCTAGGTGAGAAGAGTCTGCTCAGGGGAAGCAAGGGAGCTGGGACCCCACATCCCTGCAGGGAACCCCTTCATCTGTGTGGAGGAGAGCTGGGGTTGAGGTCTTTGGTGAGGTGGCTGGCCCTTGTCTCCTCTCCATCCAAAGACTGATGGCACTTGAGGGGCTGTTTCCCGGGTGTTGAGAAGCTCCAACACGAACCCCAACAGTACTGAGGTTCTGTGGTTCTGGAGGGCCTCCCACCCCATTCCTGGTATAGACTTGAAGACTGTGTCAGATAAGAGCAGGGGTTCCAAGTGGTTCTGCCACTTCCTACTGTATGTTCTCAGGCAAGTTACCTGACCTGTCCCCACTTCAATTTCCTCATCGGCAAAAGTGAGACATGAAACGAGGCTATGTACATGAAGCTCTTAGCCTAGCGCCTGGCGTGGGGCTTGAGAAATGATGCGTATTGATAATAAATGGTAACTATCTTATAATAAATGGTATTTGTGATAGTACTTTTGTTATTGATTCCCCAGTAATTTTACTTTGTGGTTGCTATTTTAATAATTTTAGTTTATTATTTTATTAAAATTTCAACTGGATGTCAAGGTTAATAGGGTTATTTCCTCGTTGCAAAGACGGATCAACTGATGAGCAAAGCAGTTAAATTATTTATCCTAAATCACACAGTCATTCAATACCTATACAACATCTTTCACACATCAGAACTCTGCCTGTACTGTGTATTCCCAGCGTCTACACTTGGATGGCACGTGAGTCCTGGGAAGTTGCTAAATTCTAGTACAACTGGAGGTTGCCAGCAAGACTGAAGACTGTTCCCACCCTTCCTTCCTCCCAGCTCACTCACCTCCTTGGTCAGCCTTTCCCCTTCCTCCTTCCTCCCATTCATTGCAGCCACCTTCTGCAGATTCTGTACAGCTAAGTGGGACTTGCCATGCAGGAGGAGCCAGCGGGATGACTCTGGAAGCCACCTGGGATCGAGAGGAGGAAGAAGAAGGATCTGGGGCTGGGTAGAGCTCATTCTGTTCCCCAAACCCAATAGCTCCTTGTCCATCTTCTTTCAGACCCAGAAAAGGTGATCTGTCCTCCTGTTTGTTGCATCAGGAAGTCTGGGGGCCATGCCAGCTTCCCTTTTTT